AGTGTGTGACGTTTTTATGTCCTAATTACAGTGAAAGGACACAAACAATTTATTCTTCCCCTTTTCATGACTTTTATTAAATATTTTGATATTAATTCTTTTATTTGGAAGTAAACAATGACAATTTTTATTTCTTATTTCTCATTTCTCTTTCTTCCTCTCTACAACTTTTTTGTGCATTGGGAAATTCTGATCGTTGTTAAAACTTTGTGAATCATTTTTCTTTTCAAACTGCTCCATTCTTTTCAAAATAGCAAAAAATAAGGGAAGTTAAATTAAAAAAGTATTTATGTTATACAATGAGTTTTTTTGAATTTCAATTCAAATGAATTATTTGGTGGGAGGATGTTATTTTTCTGACATAAATAGCAAAACAAAAGTAAAGGTTTTCGTCGTTCTTCACCAAATCTTTAAAAAAGATTTTCAAGGTTACGTCTCTATTTTTTCCAGACTGAAGCCAAACAAATTTTCTTAATGATTCTTGCTAAAGATCTACCATTCTTGGGACAAGAGGGAATGGGAAGAGGAAGCCTTGAAGCACAAATCTATGAAAAACTTGAAAATCCTCATTTCATAAACCACACAGGCATAGTGTTTCCTACATGTTTTAAATCTATTTCACTTGTATAATGCTTTACAGAAAGCAATCTGCACATCTAAGAGAAAATCAAATATCCAGATATTCAATGTTTCTGGCATACTTTTCATATTGATATTCAATAAATATGATGGTTAGTTTTTTTAATTATTAAAAACAAAAAACAATTCATTCACCAAAGAAAAAAAATTTCTAAAAATAAGAATTTGTATCTTGTCAACCCTCACCAAGAATATATTGACCTCCAAGAAGAATAATGTTTCTCTTTACTTTAATTCTATCAACTTTCAAATAAAATACTGACTGACATGATTTTTGTATTTAACATAACTCAATAAGTTTTAAACATCTGGTCAAAATAGAAAGTTTTCTACATTATATAATTTTCAGCTAGATGTTCTTAAAATAACAAATATTAAAAATGACAAGTGGAATGACAAAAGGAAAAAAATACTTTAATAATGCAAATAAAAATCCTGATTATCAAATTATTTGGTATCAAAATTTCAGAGCTAAAAATAATTTTATTTCTGTTGTTAATTTGTCTTTCCTTCATTGGTAAGGACAAACAGACAAATAAAAAGAAAATCTTTTATTGTCACTGGATATTTCAGGGAAAAAGTAAAAAAATAAAAATTAATCATTTTGTGATTTACTTTTCACTTTGGAAGAAATATTTGACACATGACAAAAGTTTATCACAATATTTCAGGCAACAGTGTAGGGTTATGATTAACAAGCTAGTATGTTTGACCATTACTAATGAGCAGGGAGTTCAGTCCTCACTAGATGCTCTATATCCATGGCTTTGTGCCAAAAGAAGTCAAAAAACAATTGATCATTGATATGGACAATTCAAATAGATGAATCAAAGTCTAGTAAAATAGTAAACATTCATGCCAATTGCTCGACCAACTCATTATTGCAACCTTGCAGTGTAACCTGGATATAAGAGAAACCCGGATATAAGAGAGATTTTCTTTGGTCCCAAATTAGAGCCTGTGTTAATGTATATAAAATAGACCAAACCCGGATATAAGAGACTTCTTCTCCAGTCCCGACAACTCTCTTATATCCGGGTTACACTGTATATTGTTTTAAAAAAACAACTCTGCCTACTTAAAATTTGGGGATAAAAAATAAAGGGAATATAAGACACTTGAGAGAACGCACAAGTTGGTTAAGAAAAGAAAAAAGTCATTGAAATTTTGATTTATGGATTTTTTGTGCTTCAATTGAAAGTTTTTAAACATACATCATCAATGCATTAAGATTCTAATAATAATATTTTCTTTTAACTTTAAAGATTTTTTTCTTTCCAAATATTTCTAAAACAAATCATTTCTTTATAGACTTGATGCTGTTAATATGTTACAGCCAATCCATTCACAAGCACTCATTGATGTTTACTTGTCCAAACAATATTTCAAATGTTAATGATCCTACTTTTCAAACTTATGGACAATAAAAAATCCTTTTTAAATTTATTTTAACAGATTTATCTAAAGATTCAAATCTTATTTTGTGGTCCTTAAAACTTGTAATTAAAAAAAACAAAAAACAAATAGAAATTTGGGATTTTGAGGAGTTTCAAGATTTCATTGTGTAGACAAGGGGAAAAACTTTTTTGCATACCTTCAAAATAAGAAAAGTATTTTGTGAGAGTTTAAAAAAAAAAAAAAAAAAAAAAAAGGTTCTGCTTTTGCCACAGATATCAGAATATATCATGATCATACTTCTCCTGTTAGTGAAATGTGGACAGGTATCTACTATCTGACAGTGGCATCCTAAGCACATTTTCCCACCCACACAAAGAATTATTTGACAGGTAAAAGATTAAATTATCCCACAAAACAATGATTTAATGATGCCGACATGTCTGCAACTCACAATTCAAGTAGGGAAACTTAGTTTTCTACAAAACAATAATACATTGTTGTCAGTAGAAAATAAAGAAAAATGCTATACCAAACGTAATCATTACATTTTGTTAAAAAAAAAAATTACAATGAGTTTAGACACCTTTTTTCTTTCTTAACCCCCTTATACGATTGCTTAGGAGTGACAAACATGAAATTATTAGTATTCAAAATTTTATAGAACAGCATCAAAAAAAAAAAAAATAAATAAAAAAATCCAGTATTGGACCGACAGAAATGGAGAAAAAAATAAAACAATTTTACAAAATACACTTGACAAGATATAACTAAAACAATAACCTAAATTTCTATTTCAGGTACTTGAGATCCCAAACAGAAAATGCGCAACTGTATTAAAGAAACAGTTCAGTGGTTACAGCATTGAACTAAATAAAAAGGTTCAATTTATAATATTGAATTGATGCAGTTCATTATTTCTCAAATTTACCCTTTTGATATATAAAGTAGGCACCATAAAAATATGTGTACAGAAATGACATTATCAACCTTCCAAAAAAAAAAAAAAAAAATCCAAAGAAAATATATTAAATAAGAGAATAGAGAAACAGGAAAAGAAATTTTCAGATATCATTTTTTTTTCATCAAAAGTTTAAAAACAAATTGATGAATATTTAAAAATATCATTTTGAATATTAAAAAATTATATAAATAATTTGAAAAAGTTAACTTACTGTAAATGTATAGAATTATTATTGGTGGTGTTGTTTAAGAAAAGTGAAAGACTTCATTAGCCTTTTATAAATCTCTTTTCAAAATAACTTAAAAAAGAAAGAGACTTGTTTTCAAAGCCAGATTTTACTTTAACAACTTTCAATATTTTGAAATACAAACTCTTTTAATCAGCAAAATGCCTGGAAAATAAATAGGAAAAAACTCTCACCCACCTCTCTTGTCTAGATTTCAATGCCCCAAAGAATTGACCAGGTGATAAAAAAAAAAAATCTGGACATTATCAGGTCCTAGTTTCAATACAAAGTATCAATTATTTAATGAGCAAATGGAAGAGATATTAAAAGGTTTATAAATCTGTGGCCAATATTAGGATTAAGTCATAAAGAGGTCAGGAATAGAACAAATAGGAAAATATCTCCAAAGATTGAAAATATACTACAAACTCACCAGATGGAGATGTTCAGTTGTGATGACAAGTCACTGAAAGTGGCATATTATAAAACGACTGAAATAGATTCATTTAAAACCAAGTTTTAGTCAAAGACTAATCCAGATATATTAACCAAATAATTTAAAACGTTACAAGAAAAAAACTATTAAAAAGCTACAATGTTAATCAAGTATTAAGCAAGTAATCATTTTATTTGCCATCTAAACTTAAAATGTTAACATTTAGGAAAAACTGGGGCAGGTTTGAATTGGACTAAGAAAATCTCAATTAGCAACCCGAGTAATTAAAGGATTTTATTTTGTGGGCTTCAAATAGTAAAATATAAATTCTCATAAAACTGGAGCAATTTTATTAATATAGAAGCTTCAACTGTCAAAGAAAAATGTAATTATATGAAATTACTTTTATCAAAAGAGTTTTTATGGTCACCGGTAGTGAAGCAGATTTCTAACTGATTTGTTTTGTTTTTTTTAATCAAACTGAAATCCTGAATATTTAGGCTGGATTCAATTTAAAAGTACACTCTTGAAAGAAAAGTTATAATAAATTATATTTGAATAATTTTAGCAATAACACTTCCATCTTGGCTAGATACAAAATTCACAGGGATTTTAGCAGCATTAGTTCATATACTAATGAAGTATTAAAAATATATATATATATATATATATATATATATATATATATATATATATATAGGGAAATTGTTGAATTAAAAAGAAAAGATGTGAAAAACTAAAACAAGGGGACTTAACTCGCCCAAGGCAGTCAGCATTTTTGATTATAATTGAAGTTCTCATTAAACAAAGACTTCACATTTAATCCATTCTTAAGATTGGATCAACAAATAAATTTCCTTTTTGTCATTTTGTCATCTTTGAAATTCTTCTATTTATGAGTATGTTTTGATGAGGTAACAAAAAAAATTGAAAGAAAAATCTACACAATTATAAACTAAAATCTTTTCAAATTTCTTTTATTGTTAATTTATTTGAATTCTGTTCATGTTTCTCTTAGTCAATCATTTATTCAAATATACACAAATGCAGACACACTCATACAAAAAAGAAAGAAAGTCAGGGGTGCAGAGAGCTTTAAGAAAAATAAAAAGGTTAGAGTCTCACTTTCCCTGTGACAATTTGATAATAGATATCTTTTAGAAGTGGAACGTAATGTTTAAGGGAAGAGTCCATAAAATAGAGAGAATCAGAAGTGAGGTTAGGATCGAAGCCTTCTTCTTTCAAAACTGATTTTTGATATTTAAAAGTCCCAGTTATTGGCATTTCTTTCTGGACACGGAGAAACAGTGGAATGGAATACGAAGCCAGTTTTTTCTGACAAATTTCAAAAACGTCTTTGAGTTGGGTGTGGTGTAAAGTGTCACCAGTTTTTAATTTTAACGATGCCATTCCAGCTCTGCCTTCACAACCTGCATAAAGAAAAAGAAAAAAAAAAATGTGATTTTTGAAAAAACAGATGAGAAAACAGACACTCTCCTATAAGGTTATTAATCAGCATTGAGTAAACTTCAGTCCAGAGAAAGTTTATCAGTGAAATCTCATATAGGGTTTGTTTTTTGTTTTTGTTTTTTTTGCAAAACATCGCATAAATCCAGGTCTGCCAGTCCTCTTACAGCTCAGATTTGGGCACCTGTAAGTTCTGGATTTTCCCAGATTTCAAACCATCAATGAGATTAAAGAGAATGTGACAAGGCAGCAGATGGTGATCCCAAAAGACATTTGATATGTGTCTATAGGTGGTAAAATATTTTTCAGGACTCCCTCTGTAAATTATTAAAGTCTACCATTCGTCCATGCTTAGAATATTGCTGCCATATATGGTTCGGTGCCCTTGCTATTTACCTGGAGCTCCTTGATAAGATCCAAAGAAGAATCAACAATATTATTGGTCTTAGTCTAGTGGCTTCAGTCACTTTCCCACCACCATAATGTTGCCTCTCTGTGCCTTTTTTTTTTATAAATACTTTCATAGTAATTGTTCAGATGAGCATTTTGCTATAGGTCCTAGACTATATGAATTTAAGTGCAATACTAGACTGGTGGTGAGATCTCATCAATTTACAGTTGAGCTAGCTAGATGTAGATGTAATTTCTATGCTAACAGTTTCTTATCTCGCACTTCTCGCTTGTGGAACTTCCTCCCAGTTCCATGCTTTCCAATCAACTTTAATCTGCAAAAATTTAAATGCAATGTCAATTGCTATCTACTGTCCTCCTAATTTCTCTTTTCTCTTTTTACTCATTACTAATGTTTTTGTTCCTAGTTTCTCCACACCCTGTAACCCCTTGTGTGTTAGTGGCTGTACTGCCTTGCTTAGGGTGATACGGATTTAAAAAACAAAAAAGAAAGAAAATACTTAGAGGGAGTCCTGATAAATATTTTACTGTCTATAAAAACATGTCAAACACACTTTATTAAATCACCAGCATTTACACAATCCATACTTAAAGAATCTAAGATCTGTTGTCTACCTACAATCAGCATAATATAAATTCTTTTACTTTCACACAAGATATCTCCAATCAACATACGAATAACTACCATAGATGAAAATGCCAACAAGATGCTTAAATGCAGTGACACTGGTAAATGAAGAAAAGGCTAAATTGGAATATGAGCTTGGAACAGAATGAAAAAGAGTTAAGTTAAAATGTAAACTTGGATCAGAGCAAAAAAGATTAAGTTAAAATATAACTTAAAACCCAGACAACAAACAAGAACCAGATCAATTGTGCCAAGAAAAGACAGCCATCTGGAAAAAGTAAACCCACAAGAATTGGAGGGACAAATAGAGAAAATACACTTGATGACAGTAGAGAATTTTGGAAATAAATCAGAAAAGGAAAAATTAATTAATGACCGTCTACTAAAAGTGCCACTTACAAAAACACCAATCGAGAGATAAAATTTGGTATGAATGGAGAAAAACTGAAAAAACAGTCCCAGAGAAAGGATTTTATACTTTGCCTAGAAGAAATTAAGATATGAAAATTACAGTAAAAAGGAAGAAGCTGATTAATTTCTTATTATAAAGACCTCAAACTGGGAAAAATGTGCTGATGACAATTAAAATAAAATAAGCTTAATGACCAAAAGATAAGTACAACCCATTCACCTATGGAATTTGAAAATTGAATTTGTCAAGATGACAACTGAGGGGAGAGACTTAGGTGAAATACCAAGAGAGACGGAGGAGGGATTGCATCTTCTCATCTGGTAGGTAATGGTAAGAGGTACAAATAAGAGAAAGAAAGAGTTATCGAGGCGGGTTAGTACCTATGACCACGGCCCATGGAAAAGGGGGTCTCCCAAATTTGGAAAGATAATTAATCTTCCAAAACAAGACAACAAAAAACTCTTGTTGGAAATCCTGGAATCCCCAAATATACGTCAAACTCCAATGCCAGTCAATATAGATAATGTCAATATAAGCAGAAGACTGAAGCGATCAGATGACGAGAGATGACCATGCTGCTGAAGGACAGGTGACTTGCTGCCAAAGAGAACTTCTGATTTCAGCCTGAGCTAAAATGAGCAAAGTGTCACGATAGAATTCAAAGTGGGAAGAGTTAATATTTCTGTATAAAGAACGAGATATAAACCACATAAAAAATTGAAAAATTTTGTCTGAAAAGAAAATTATTTTCTTTTTCTTTGTGACAAAGCTTCACCAGGGTTCAAACCAATGCTATGATTGCTGATAACAACTCAGTGTTTGTCAGCTCCAAGATCAAAAAGCACAATGTGGTAGAGCAGAGCACAGACTGGGATGGCTACTTAAATGATCAGTGGCAGTATTGACCAGCGTAGGAATTGATCAAGGACCAATCAGCAAGAAGTGTCATAACATATATATATATATATATATATATATATATATATAAAAGTGAACATAGAAGTCAACACTTAGCTGCAACAGGCTGTTTCATGCTAGACGCAATTGTCAGGCCACCTGACGATTGCATCTTGCATGAAACAGACTGTCACTAAGTGTTGACTTCTATATTCCTTTTATATTTACACACGCTCTATAAGCTGATATTGAGCACTATATCCCATAAATAAAGCACATCTTAAGACTATATTTCTTCATATATATATATATATATATATATATATATATATATATATATATATATATATATATATATATATATATAATCTAATAATCTTATAAATATAAGAAATTATACTTGTCCAGAACACCTTCGATGTCTTGACTTGCAAATAACCAAACCAATACCAAAGGGAAAAAAAGGTACCAAAAAAGAAAGAACAAAGAATATGTACGTCAGCCAAAAATAAGCGTCTAGCATCTAAGTCCAGAGTCCAAAGAAAAAAACCCCGATACGAGTAAGTAAAATAACTAAATAAAGTGCTCAATACGCTAAGTAGAGCAAACCTAATTAAACCTAAAGAGCCAAACAAACCTACCAAGGTTTTACCTATGCTGATCGTCAGGGAAGGCTAGTTCCAGCCTTCCCTGACGATCCGCATAGTTGAAACCTTGGTAGGTTTGTCTGGCTCTTTAGGTTTAATTATATATACTTTCCCCGACCAAAATAAATTATTAAATAAAAGATCCGAGCTCATCTCAAAATGCAGGCATGAAAATAAATTTTTACTACGTAACCTAAAAAATGAAAAACGGAAAAAATAAAATAAAAACAAACAAATACACTAATAAAATAAAACAAATAAAAACAAACAAATACACTAATAAAAATAAAATAAAATAAAATAAATAAATACTATGTTGCTTAAAAACCGAAAACTGAAAAGAGAAAATATACAAATAAAATGACCTAAATTCATCCAACCAATCCCAAATTAAAAACTGTTCCCGCCAAAAAAATAATAGTTAGAATGAACTACAACAACCAACCCCAAAATTGAACAAATAGCTTTAATTAAATTCTCAAACCAAAACAAAACTGTTAAATACGTGATATAAACAAATTTTACTACGTTAATAAATAAATAAATAAAATAAAAACAAAAAAAAAAAAAATAAAAACAAGCAATATAATTTGACCCAAATAAATAGACAAAAGCGACTTCCGGTAAAAAATAACCGCCATAATAGAATACCCACAATGCACCACTAACCCGTATATATATAAATAGCAAGAAAAAATAACAGCATATGTGGCCTGACGATTGCATATAGCATGAAACAGACTGTCGCCTCTAAGTGTTGACTTCTATGTTCACTTTTATATATATATATATATATATATATATTGAACAATAAGAAAATAAAAAATTAAAATCTTTAGACACACTGGGTTGTAGATTAATATTCTTTCATTTTTTTTTATTATTATTCCATTTAGATTCCTCGACTAGTTTTGACCGAAATGGCCATCATCGGGAGGAGAAATATTTCTGCTTGCTGTTAGCAGTGAACTACAGAAATGAATGTCTTGATGGAGAAAATGAACTTTTGTCTGTAGTTTTCATTTGTTTTTTTATCTTTTTAACATGAATCTTTTAACATTCCTTGTGTTGGTCAAACAGTCTCTTTTAAGTTGTTATTTGAGATAAGAGCTGGATTGATACATATTATTCTGAATTCTCTGGTCAGTTTGACAGTTTTATTGGACCTGGTGAGGGGATGTGTCTCTGTTTAGTGTTTGTGTGTGTGTTATTTGGTTCTTAGGGAGTGAGTGAGTATGATATGTGTAAGCGTGTGTATTGCTGTAGGTGTGTGTTATCATTTGGCTCATTAGGGAGTGAGTGAGTATGATGTGTGTAAATGTGTATATTCGTGTGGGTGTGTGAGGCCTCCACACCTCTGTAAGCATGTCTGTCTTGTGTGGGTGAGAAATGTGGGTAGGTTTTAATTTGTTGACTATCTATATATTGTTAAATTTAGGATTTAGCCGGCTGGGTATTTTGTTTTTAGATGTTGTATCCACTTATTTTCATATATATATATATATATATATATATATATATATATATATATATATATATATATATATATATATATATATATATTAGGTAGGTCTAAAATTACCACCAAAAAATATTTTTCTTCAAAACTTTGTATTTATTTGAGCAATTGAACTTAAAGACAAAATAAATTGCGAATTTTTTCATCATAACGGTGTCACTGGAGACATGTGTATGTTAAATTAAAACCGAGTCTTAACGAAAAGAAAAAAAGAAAATAACGCTTAATAATGGATATTTTTGAGTTTATTATCTATTCTCTTATTAAATGAAATGAAATTACTACAAATAAAAAATAAAACACACTAAAATATTTAGTTTAGAATACAAATAACTACTCATGAACGGTAATCGTTTTTACTGGATATTTTTTCGGTATTTACCGGTAGTAATTACCTCTTTCTTGTATGTTCGTTTTATTTTTGTTTACGCTTTTAACTAGCGCAAATA